TCATCTCTGTAAAATCAGTATGGAAAATAACTTTACAGGGTAATCAAACTTAAAGAGTTCAGAGGACTCCCCTCTAGTCTTAGCTTCAGAGTACAGCAAACAAAGATAAACACTCTAGTAAAAGGTACATTTACAAGTTGAGAAAACAAAGGAAAACTAACACGCCTTGCCTGGCTATTTACTTACAAGTTTGAAATAGGAGAGACTTGTTTAGAAAGATGTGGAGAACCTGGATTGATGTCTGGTCCTTCTCAGTCCCAAGAGCGAACGCACACCCAAAACAAAGAGCACACACAAAAGCCTTCCCCCCTCCCAAGATTTGAAAGTATCTTGTCCCCTTAGGTCAGATGCCAGCCAGGTTACCTGAGCTTCTTAACCCTTTACAGGGAAAAGGATTTTGGAGTCTCTGGCCAGGAGGGATTTTATAGTACTGTACACAGGACAGCTGTTACCCTTCCCTTTATAGTTATGACACTCTCCATCTACGGATTTTTTTTAAGTGATACTACAGAAAAAAACAACTTTTGTTACCTGCTCCACAATGTGTATTCTTACCACAAGCTTGCTATCTAGTGTGTCTCCCCTAAGAGAAAATTAAAAGTAATGTGAATTTACATGTGGTTCGAAAGATGCTCAGAATACTCACTACTGATTTGCTAAAAATTCTCTCAATATGAGAATAAGAAATAACATTTGTTTCCTTGCAATCCTCTAGCACTTTCTTATAAGAAATAAGCAGTAAGATCAAAAGTGTCCTCCTGAGAAGTTCTCCAGTGGTTTAGTGCCCACATTATTTTTATGTTAGTTGTCAAAAACTGTCCTTGTAGATCTTAAAATAAGCTTTTTTATATTCAGGAAATGTTTCAACTGATGCTCAGAAGAGGTGTATATAATCAAACATTTGGCATCTGTCTTACAAAATTTAAAGATTTAAAATGTTATTTATACCCTTTTTGTGACTGCAAGCTGCACTGAGTTTTATTTAGCAATAAGATATTGTCTCATTAACTATTTAAAAGTGATGTTGAGATCTAGCTCTGTGCTCTCATCTAATCACTAGCTGGTTACAGAACAGAAAGAAGTTCTCTCCTTTCCTCTTGCAGATAAGTATCTTTACTCTTGTGGAAGGGATTTTCGCATCGTGTCAGAAGTTGACTCGGTTATGTTTAACCAGACTCCCGCAGGATCGCTGTCAGAGGAAGGAGATCCCCACTGCTCAGAGCTGAGATCATTGCTATAGCGTTAACTACAGCTGCAGTCCTTCCCCCACCCTCACTTCCCGTTAGGGTGTGAACTGGCCAGGCGAGATGCCACAGAGCTACTTCTACAGAAGATCCTGGCATGCATTACACTGGCTTTGTCAGACAGAGGCAGCTCTCCCCCTAGAGCAGGGGAGACATCAATGAAGGAATATACATGTTCCCCACCCTGGTTCCATCCGCATCCCCACCTATTCCCTTGGCCCTCACACAACATCCCTGCTTCCGACATAGTGGGGCAGACCAGGGGCCCATCCATGTATTTGTTTTAAACAACTAAATTTTTGGTCCTGTGCACTAGACTACAGCTAGGAGGAGTTCAGTGAACTAAGATTAATTTCTCTCCTGCTTCTAGGTGTTTCTTTGCTATGCAGTGGCAAACACAAATGTTAAAAAGGTTGGAACTCTGAAAACAATCCAAAAACTTCTTCTGGATAGGGAAAAAGAGGCTTGCTGTCTGCCCCAATGGTCAATAAACTAAGGCCATTATGGTCCAAGTATCTCCCTATTCTATGGTGGCTTTGGAAATATGTATTTTTATGTGAAAGGCCATAGATACAAATTTAAGGAGAGAGATAGTCAGTCAGGAAATTGCCTGGAAATTGGCACTCTGGGCAACTGGCCCCCTCACCCATCACTAGGTGTACATTGCACTACAGCTTGATCCAAAGTTTGACTGGTATATCTATTTCCATTAGATGTGTGATGTGTTAGCAGAATAGTTACACTGGTAAAAGCTCTAATATGGATGCAGTTAGAGTGGTATAACTTATTCTCTTGCCCATACAAGATTTGCTATACTGCTATAAACACCTTTGTGCTGATATAACTGAGTCTGCACTATGGGAATCTACCTGTGCTGATATAGTTAAAGTAGCACAACTTTCTAATATAGACAATCCCTGAGAGTCTGACCCCGAACGCCCTCAATGCCGATGGAATTCCAAGTTCCTTATTAAAACTAACTAGAAATATAAAGACAAAGTATCAACTACCTGGTGCTCAAAATGACTGATTGTTGAATGTTTTGCACATGGAATTCTCTTTCATGAACTTGGCTGTGTTCGGAATGTGTGAGAGGCAAGGGAGGAGACTGTTTCCATACCTTTGTGGAAAGCTACAAGGTACTTTGGCACCTCAACGTACGCTTTCTCCTAGATGATGTAGAGCAATGGTTTTCAACCGGGGTATGCATACCCCTGGGGGTACACAGAGGTTTTCCAGGGTGTTCATGAACTCATCTAGATAGTTGCCTAATTTTACAACAGGCTACATAAAAAGCACTCGCGAAGTCGGTACAAACTAAAATTTCATACAGACAATAACTTGTTTATATTTCTCTGTATACTATACACGGATATGTAAATAAAATATTTATATTCTAATGGATTTAGTTTACAATTATATGGTAAAAATGAGAAAGTCAGCAATTTTTCAGTAAGAGTGTGCTGTGACACCCTTATATTTTTGTCTGATTTTGTAAGCCAGTAGTTAAGTGAGGTGAAACTTGGGGGTATGTAAGACAAAATCAGACTCCTGAAAGGGGTACAGTAGGCTGGTATGGTTGAGAGCCACTTATGTTGAAGGTGAGTGTTCAGAGCCAGAACAGAAATGCCTTGTCATGACCACTGCCAGGAAGTGCTGCAACTGAAAGATATGAGCAAGACTCTGTGCTGCCGTTCACAAGAGGCGTGGCACACAAGGCACTGACAAGGACGTCGGGGCTTTAAGCCCCCTTTATACCTCTCCGATTCCGGGCTCCTCTGGCTCTGAGGGCCTGTGCAGCCTCCTGTGTACCTTAGGCTTAGAGCACTATGTGCCCACACAGGTCCCACTCCCCCCTGTTCCTCGAATAGTCACAACCCCACAGAACCCTCAGCAGCTTTCCCACTGCCGCTGCCAATGGGTTCCCCTGCAGCCAAGAATTCCAAAGCATGAAGTGCTCTGGCCACTTCGCTTCATGCCTTTGGCAGTACCCTAAACCAGGCGCTGCATGAGGCAGCTTTCAGGCTGCTTATGCCAGCATATGCTTTCCCTGCACTGGGGGAATTCCTCTGGGGACCACGCCACTCCCTTTGCAGTCCCTATAT